ATATTGAAAATGGGTATAAAGACAAGAATTTACACAACTCTCCTTCCTCAGTGAATAACAATTTATCTGAATTATTACCCAACTTTCGACCCATCCACTTCTCTTTTTTGTCCGTCTAAAGACAACTTAAAAATACTGCATTTACAATTCCACAATATCTTCATTAATTCATGCATTTAACTCTGAAATAGCGCCATTTGAATTTATTTCATGATAATAATTCATATTATTTTTTAAGTTAAGCTTAAGGCCACGTCGCTATAGCTTATCTGATTTTGATTACCTTTATGCTGTTAATAATAATTAATACATTAAATAAAAAAAGAAAAAATTTTTATACAATTACTTATTCAATAATTGCTTTCGAAAACATAAGAAATGGTTAAAGTTTATAAGCGTGGACTGCTTTTAAAAATTTAACACGGGGCGCTTTACTCAGTTATTCAGAGTAGAGATATTTTTATGTTCTGGTGATATGTTTGTTCTTTCTGGCTGAGTTTGCACAAAGAACCTTCCTTCATGTTTAATATTTGGCTTAAAGAAGTCTTTGTTATGAGCTCCACCAAGGTATGCCAATACCAATAGTCCATAAGAAAGAAAACCCATCAGCTTGCGCTTCACAAAATATTACGAGCATAATACTTGTATGTTCGCTCCCTGCAGTGAAGAATACAATGTAACTCAGACATACATTTATATGTACATATATTTGTGATTGTGTGTGTGTGTGTGTGTGTGTGTTTGTCCTCATATTTGCACGATTTTATCATCGAAATAAAGAAATTCATTTTCGAAAAAACGCAACTTGTATAGCAAGCAAAAGTTTCGACTTGACTGCATTTTAATCAAGCGAGTGAGTGGGTTTCGACTTGCGATCCTGCATTTGCTGAAATATGTCTCTCTGCGTTTTCGGTGGCTTCTTGATTATGCCCGGACACGAGAAGGAATTGTTTGTGTGTGGTCTGAGGGTTGATTGGGGGCAGCTGGCAGCCATTTCTGCAAACCTCCCCCTCTCCCCAACCCACCCACCAAAAGGGCAATAGTCGCTCGGCTATGCTGTTTTTATATTGAACAAAATGTATGTCCAAAATAAAAGTAAATATTGGTGGATTTTTGAAAAAGTGGTTTTAGTGACAATGTTGTTTTGAAACTTTTGTTGTGTCAGACACGCAGACAAGCATTGTACTCTGCTTTTGGATTATGATTTCTTTATGACATTTCGCTTCATCTTAGCTTACCCTTAAGGCGTGCAGTTATGTTCACGCCTTCTATTATATCAGCTCTACTCGTATGCGTAGTGCCCCTTTATATGGCTAGTGCCAATTTCTTATCAAAATTGCCAGACGCAGCAGCCATATACTGAGAAAAGTACGCCCACGCGTGCCACAGAAGACCATTGAAGAGTCAAAACCGAGAAACATAATCACTGTCAAGGGACGCTTTCAAGCTCATCAGCATTGTCATCATAAGCAGCTTGCTTGTGGCACGAAGGGTGGCAGTAGTAGAGGAGGGTCTTAGGAGGGCTAAGTCGCGTCAACTACAACCCGCCGTGGCTGCCCGCCTTTGTGTAGCGTTTGCATTGCACTTCAGCATTCGAGACAAACAATGAAAGCCTTTTGGGAGTAACACGAGGTTGCTATTAGAGGGAAGCTGGCGGAGCGATTGGCAGCGGGAGGGTGTAAGTTGAGGGCAAGAAAACAACGGAAATGCTGCTGCATTTTTTGCCGATTTCGGAGTAGAGTTACAACAAGTGCAAAGAAGCTGAGAAAACAAAGCCTAAGGGGCGAGGTGCGAGGTGTGAGGCGAGGTGTGAGGACGGCTGACGACGCAGCCGCCTAGAAGTAGACAAACAAAGATGCTTATTGTTTCAATGGATTTAGTAGCACGCGGACAAGAGTTGAGCAGACAAGGCGCTCGAACAAAGTAGTAGAGGCTGCAGCTCAGACGCGGATGAGTGGGCGTGACATTATGTTGTTTTGGGGTTGCTTTCCAGCCCATGTGGTGAGCTGTTTTTCTTCTTCATGAGTGTTGCGTCTCGACTCGTCCCTTTCCGTCCCCCACCCAAAAGACCTTTAAGTGGGTGCCAACTTGAACTTTTTCAAGTTATTTTACACTGCGTGTGTGTATGTGTCTTGCCTTCTTAAGATACGGAAATGCTGCTGAAGTAAGTTCCAATATGTTGCCGCAATGTCTGAGAAAATTGAATTTGGAACGAAAATTGCTCGTCACAATTTTTTATACACTGGCTGGCGCATTCATCTTATTTACATGTTTTATTTATTATATTGTGCGTATTTTAAGGACATATAAACAAGAATTCATTTGCTGGTGCAGATAATTGTGCGCGTGATAAAAAATTCTCTCCCTCTCGCGCAGCTCATGATCTCACAAATCATGCCTCTTTTGATCGGTCATAGTTGGGTCGTAGATATTTTTCAGTATTTTGTTTTGCCATTTCTTAAAATAAATACAACTATTAAAATATTTGTAATATTTATTAGGGACAACGGATTTTCAACAATAGCGGAATTATTATTAATATTTGTACTTATATAAACCGCATATGGATATGTTTATAAATTATTTTTCATATAGATAAAAATGTAATTTCTGTGGCAATATTTAAAATCCTGTGTCTGACGCTGTCATGTTTCGTGGCGATTTGATAAACAGAATTTTTGGGGTTTTATAATTTTTTTAAAAGTATTTTTCGAATTTTATTCCATGTTGTTTTTTTTTCGTTTCAATATGAATCAAATGAATTCAGTTTATAGTCCAATAAAAATATCTATTGAGGCATAAAAACAATAAAGTAAATATAATACATTTATGCATGGAAAGCCGATAAGTCCAAGTTGTGTGGAGAACGAAAGGCGTCCCAAAGCTACCTTTTTTTAGTCGCGCAGCAGCGCCAGCCTAGTACCCTATATTTGTTTAAATATAAAGTAATCAAGGCAACTTTTTTCTTTAATTTAAGAATATGCTCTCCTGCTTTCAGTTTTGAATTTTGTAATGTAAACAATTTAAATTTGGTTTATTGATTCGTCAGTATCTCTAATTAATGCTTCTGTGGCTGGCTCGAACTTGAGCACTTAGTAGGTAATGCTCTAGCATACATTTTAATTAGTAGGACCTATCCCGGTGCCGAGTTTGAATTGAAGCGTCTGCTTGAAGTCTTCCTTGTAACCACAATACTGCTCCTTCGTGCGTTGTCGCCACGGATATCCGTATGCCAGCTTCCTCAAACGAGCGTGGTCATTGTAGAATGTTTCACATTATTATTGGATTTTCAACAGTTCCCGTTTTACCTGCCACGCACACAATCCAACCGTCGAATAATAAAGTAATCCCTGATTCTAGAGTTCACTCTCTTCGTTGCATTCTATGCAATCTGCTGGCCAACCTTTTCTCATCTTTAGTCGTGGCTTTTCGGCAGCTTCAGCCATGGCATGCAGATAGCAAGTTGTCGGCAATTGTTAGCGTCCGTTGCCTTTACCCTAAAGAAAGGGGTGTGTGGCAAGGAGGTGGCACTGCACTTGCCGAGTCCCCTCCTGCCTGGTATCTGCTTCCTAGCTGCCTGCCTGCCTGCCTGCCTGCCTGCCTGCCTGTTTACAATTTACTGAGCTGCACTTGAGAAATTACACATGCTTCTGGCTCCCCCTTTCTTTTCCTTTATCGCACTCAAATTTCCAGTTAGTCCTGCCATGGGGGGTGACTGCAAGTAAATCGTCTGTCTTATTTGTCTACTACTGCACACATTTTTAATAAGTGTAAACGCCGTGCTTGCGGATCGTACTTTGGGTCGGGCCTGGCTCTGGCTCTGGCTTTGGCCATGGGCTGAGCAGAGAGATGGGAGCTTGGGTGGATATGGGCATGGGGTGCGTCTCTTTGTACGTTTGCGTTGTTTGCGCTAACCAACAGGCAGCAACAACAGCAACAGCAATAACAAGAACGACATGATTGGTATTTTCCGGTGCAGACATTTGCAAAGGTAGCTCTAAACACAAAGGCGGCGCCCCTTGCATTTTTCTGTGCGGCCAACTGCGAAGCCGTTGCTGCTTGCCTGGCTGGACTGTTGCAGAGTCTATCGATTTTTTCTCTCATTTCTGCTGCCCGGCTGTTTTTAGAATTTTTGCAAAATTATATGACAACTTTTAGTTGAAACTGCGCCTTTTGTGGCAAGCTTTAACTATTTTAGTTGCTTTTTTTTTCAGTGCAAAGCAAAATATTTTATAACATTGCCACAAGGTTGTCGTTCAAGAAGTCCAAGCAGAAAATAACCACCTTCCTAGTAAGCCTAACTAACCCTGAAATAAGTTTCGGGAATTACTAGATATTGACGAAAATGTAGAGGCAACATGGCTGGATTTCCTGCTGCTGCAAATGGCCCAACAAAATAACCCACTGCAAGGTTTACTAGAAGGTTAAATCCAGTGTTTGTTAGGCAATAAGGCTTCTGATTGCCAGGGTTATCCTGGAGGTTAGACAAGATGCGCGAAAATCTGAAATTTCTATTATTACAATTCTTCTTCAACTGCCGCACTTTCAGTTATTTAGTAGGCACTACCTCTAGGCCAAGTCCGGCTTCCCTCTTGTTCACTTAACTCTTTGTCCACATTACTGGATATAGTTTTTATGATTAAGGCTTCCAACTGCCGCCTGCACTCCAACTCCCTCCCCCATGTATTTTCGGGTGTGAAACGTGGCCGTGCCGACCCCTGTATCTCTTTTCCAGCTCATTGCATGCAAAGGGGCTGAGGTGTAATTCAAGAGCTTTAAATTACACGTCCTGCGAACTCAGAAGTTATGTTTGTGTGCAGGAATGGGGGTCAGCCTGGTATCTGTCTGCTATTAGTTTTTGAAAGGAAAACACTTCTCTACAAGTAGTGCTGTATTGTTTCAATGCTAATGTGAAAAACTAAACGTTTGCAGCTGCAACAACTTCTGCTCATGAATATGTATGTTTTGCTAACCCCCGCCTCTCTCCATCTACATTGCAGCTGGAATCAAGTACACGGACAACCAGCGTGTCATCATATTGGTCAAGGATGTGAACGACGAGCCCCCCTACTTTATAAACCGCCCGCTGCCTATGCAAGCGGTGGTGCAGTTGAACGCGCCACCCAATACGCCCGTCTTCACGCTTCAGGCCCGCGATCCGGACACGGATCACAACATACATTACTTCATAGTACGCGATCGAACGGGTGGGCGCTTCGAGGTCGACGAACGCTCAGGAGTGGTGCGCACGCGCGGCACAGATCTCTTCCAGCTGGACATGGAATATGTTCTGTATGTGAAGGCCGAGGATCAGAACGGCAAGGTCGACGACCGTCGCTATCAGAGCACGCCCGAGGAGCGGCTGTCCATTGTGGGTGGCAAGCGAGCTCCACAGTTCTACATGCCCAGCTACGAGGCCGAGATACCCGAGAATCAGAAAAAGGACTCCGAGTAAGTACAAGAACAAAATCAATCAAGTAAAGGAAAGCGTGTGGGTGCGTGGCAGGGGAATTGAAAACGAAAAACAAATAAATGCAAATTAGTGGCTGCCAATAAAAGTTATGCATAACAAGGAGAATGGAGAGAAGTGAATTAGATTGTCACAATGTGTGGTTGTCCTGCTGTCCTGCTGTCCTGCTGTCCCGCTGTCCATTACAGTTGCGCTGGCTCATTGAAATTCTAATAGGAGGATAACTGTCAAAAGGCAGTCGAGCAAGTAGCACGAAAATGGAAAGTTGAAATGGATGTAACGCAGTATATGCATTCATTTGATTCTCTACGAGTCCTCTTTATCACTCACTATATTCCTTTCATTCGATTTTCTGTCTTGCAGCATCATCTCGGTGAAAGCCAAGTCCTTTGCGGACCGTGAGATACGCTACACACTCAAGGCGCAGGGCCAGGGTGCTGGTACTTTCAACATCGGACCCTCGTCGGGCATTGTCAAGCTGGCCAAGGAGCTAGATTTTGAGGACTTGCGACAGCCGCACGTCTACTCACTGATTGTGACGGCCACCGAGGACTCGGGTGGCTTCTCAACATCCGTCGAGGTAACTAAACAATGCAGACCCCCCTCCCCTGTAGCTCAGTTACTCATACTCCATATCCATCCCTCAGCTCACCATACGCGTGACCGACGTCAACGACAATGCGCCCAAGTTCGAGCTGCCCGACTATCAGGCCCACAATGTGGACGAGGACATGCCGCTGGGCACGAGCATTCTGCGCGTCAAGGCCATGGATGCGGATTCGGGCGCCAATGCCGAGATCGAATATTTGGTCTCCGACGATCACTTTGCAGTCGACTCGAATGGCATTATTGTGAACAACAAACAGCTGGATGCGGACAACAACAATGCCTACTACGAGTTCATAGTCACGGCTAAGGATAAGGGGGATCCACCAAAATCGGGCACCGCCACCGTGCGCGTCTACACCAAGAACAAGAACGATGAGGAGCCCAAGTTCTCTCAGCAGGTCTATACGCCGAATGTGGACGAGAATGCCGGACCTAACACACTGGTCACCACTGTTGTGGCTTCCGACAAGGACGGCGACAATGTGCGTTTTGGTTTCGTCGGTGGCGGCACCTCCTCGGGCCAGTTTGTCATCGAGGACATCACTGGTGTCATTCGGCTGCACAACAAGGCCATCTCCCTGGATCGCGACAAGTACGAGCTGAACGTGACGGCCATGGACGATGGCTCCTGCTGCGTCAATGGCGATCAGACCATACATACCTCCACGGCCGTAGTGGTTGTTTTCATCACGGACGTCAACGACAACAAGCCCGTGTTCAAGGACTGCGGCACCTACTATCCCAAGGTGGAGGAGGGCGCGCCCAACGGCAGCCCAGTGATTAAGGTGGTGGCCACCGATGAGGACAAGGGTGTCAACGGACAGGTGAGTCTCGTTTGCAACGCATGTGCGCGCAATTAATTATTCCGATTTGGCCGAATGACCAGACCAGTCGTGCATGTTTCGAAGGCAGGTTCAATGCACTCGGCTCTGCGTGCAACCGCATGTTGATGCGATGATTATGAGGCGTCGCGAAGAGGGTGTTGCTGCGAGTGTCAAACTACATGCTTATGACTTCTTTTCACGCTTCTCCTTCAGGTCAAATACTCTATTGTCCAACAACCCAATCAGAAGGGCACCAAATTCACTGTCGACGAGGAGACCGGCGAAGTCTCGACCAACAAAGTGTTCGACCGCGAGGGCGACGATGGAAAATTCGTCTCGGTCACCGTCAAGGCTACAGATCAGGGTGATCCCAGTCTGGAGGGCGTGTGCTCCTTTACTGTGGAAATCACAGATGTCAACGACAATCCGCCACTATTCGATCGTCAGGTGAGCCACCGAAGTCTCCGCTTAAAGTGTTACTTCTGCTTATGGGAAATTGTTGTTGCTTTCAGAAATATGTGGAGAATGTGAAACAGGACGCCAGCATTGGAACAAATATTCTGCGCGTCTCGGCCTCAGACGAGGATGCCGATAACAATGGCGCCATTGTCTATAGCCTGAGCGCCCCATTCAATCCCAACGACTTGGAATACTTCGACATACAAGCAGAGTCCGGCTGGATTGTGCTCAAGAAGCCGCTTGACGTAAGTGTTTGCTTTTCAAGTGTTCTTGTGCTCTACCCATTTCTTCAGGCCCTCTTTTACGTTCGACCACCCCAACTAACAGAGTTTAATTATTTCATTTCGATATTTTGAAACAACTATTCTTTTGTTATTACTAACATTCTAAGAGGAGCGCTTAGCGCCAACGATGTTAAGCAATCTGCGGCTTATGTGCATTGATAAATATACTATAGTTATTGATTTGAGTTACGTCTTGATTTCGTTTGAACTGCACCTTACTTTTGTTTATAACTAAGTCTAGTCATACTTTGGCTGTGGCATAGGTGTGTGCCAGTTTTTGTTTAACACAGGCCATTAGTACGAGTATAATAATTGAACACGAATTGACTTCTTGAGGAAGCAGTGCAAGTTTTTTGGCCACAACCTGAGTATTGTGTCTCTTCTTTATGCCTTTTCATTTCCATATTTCCATATACTTCCATATATGTGTACTTAAACTCTTCATTTTTGTTTAGTTTATAGTGCGTAATGACGACGAAATCGAAACAATTGGCTCAACTAAACAAATACTTACAAAATGCCAAGCGAATTGATTTTTAACATTTTTTGAAACAATCGAATCAAACAACTAACACATCTGTAACACGTGTGTAGGACCAGACTTAGGTCCAGCTTGGGATACGGGAATGTTACGAGGAACTTAACCGCCTGCCTGAGCTTTTATCAATTTTTTTGTTTTGGTGTTAGGTCTTAGGCTTAAGCAAACCCATAATGTCAAAAAAAGAAACACATACTCGCAAGAAAGCGCATAACGATCACGCCTATTTTTGAGCATCGTTGTCAATTTTTGCCAATCAAATAAACTGAACTAAGCTGCAGTATTTGATGGAAAATGCAACCAAAAACTTTGATTTATATATTTATTTTCTTTTTAAATGTAGCCCCCACTTTGTGTGACATTTTAGTTAAACCTGAAACTCCATAAACCCAAAACCAAAGCCTAGGGAAAGAACAAAAAGAAAATACCGCCACAACTTTTTGTCGAGACTATGCCAATTTTTGAAGGTCTCTCTCCAACTGGCACCTTCTTTTTATATAGAAAACTAATTTTGATGTGTATATTTTGTGCGCCTTTTTGCATGACCACGAAAAATGCGGCAATCTAAGCATAAGTTTACGTAGTAACGTAAATACTTTATTTAACTGCACCATTAATTGTATGATTTGCATAATTTACTTGCTTTACTATTTTCATGTGAGAGGGGAGGGCAGCAGCGATTGTTTAGTTTTTAATTTCCCATTTATATTTACATATACATTCAATTATGGTACGACCGATTACGATATCAACACTGCAGGGTTGCTATCCTGTAAGTAAACGATTCTCTCCCACTCTATGAAGTGTTTTGTGTAACGCTGTTTCTGTGCTAACCCAGCAATTGCCTCCTGGCAGCCAACTAGAAATAGAAAGCGCACTCAGACTGTAAGCTAACATCGAGCAGGAACTAACTAGTTGTCCAGGACTATTTCATGTTGTAAATAACCACCGTATGGTGCTGATAACTGTCAGACCAGCCCCTTCAATATGCCATACATCATGCATACTCGTATTTCATGAACGACTTCTCAGTCTCAGTCTGATTTATCGTACCACCAACATATAGTATTGGTCTATCCAGATGCTGTCACAAGTAGTCTCGTCAAAATTCCCCCATTATACTACATAGTGTACTATGTATATGCATATATATTTGTCTAACAATCGTAAACTATCCACCTAACCGTACCAATTATCTCACCACTAACTCTTTACCTCCCAAGAACCATCCTAAAGATATTGAATTTCCTTTGTTGTCCAATCTAATGTGAAATATTTTACTTGATTTATTATTATTTCATATACATATGAACTAATCAACTTATTAAATTAATAATAATAATGATAATTATTAAAAAAAAACAACAACGATGCCAACAATAACGTAATCGTAATCGTGACGTAACGTAACACATATCGTGAAACCAATACACAAACCATCGTACCCACCCAACTAACTAACATACAATACACAAATGTAAAAACGTGCGTGCTATGCTTGCTTATATGGGTTCGGGCATTGACTACTGCTTTGCGAATGTTATCCCATGCAACAACCCACGCTGTTAACGTTAATGGCTAACATAATGCTGTGAAAAATGACCATCTCTCAAAACCTTTACTCACACACACACCATATACTCGAACCCCAATCAACAGCGCGATCGCTACCGCTTACGAGTCCGAGCCTCGGATCGCGGTGATCCGCCCTCGTATGCCGACGTTGATGTCGAGCTAGATGTCGTCGATCGCAATAACAAACCGCCTATTTGGGATAAGAATGTCTATGGTCCAATAAATATACGCGAGAATGTAACTGTGGGTACGGTTGTAACATCGGTTAAGGCAAGGTTTGTATAGCCATTACCCAACTACACATATACTACATACATACTTATAAATACTACTCACAACCACTACCATGTACATGAGAGTTACATACATACATACATACTATACATACATAATTAATATCTAACAGCCGAGAGTTTAACATTTAGTTAGATTTTTGACATGTACCAGCATTTTCGCTAACATACTCGTAACATACCGTTTAAGCTTCTTTGTATTTTTAACATAAACCAACTAGTCCTTGTCTTCTCTATCTCTCTTTCTGTTATAACAAAGCTACGATACTAAGTTTTTGTGGTGTATTCGTATATCGTAAAAGCTGAGAAGCTTAATCATTTTTTTGACACCGCCACCATCGCCGCCACCACCAACAACAACAAGAACAACAACAAACCGGACAGCAGCCAACTGTTGCACTTTTGTTGTGCTTTTCAGAAACGTTTAGAAGAATCCTTCAAATTTGACATTGGCATTGGATGTGCTGCTGTTGGTGTTTGTTTTAACACATTTTTTGTAGCCCCGTTGGGAGTGATGAGGGCGTTTTTGTATTTTGCTGCTATATCGAAGCTTTTATCGAAGCAATCCCTCCTGCCTTACACATCACCTCTATTGGATTTGCTCCCAATCTCCGACTTGAATAAAACCCATGAACGCCAAGAAACTGCTACACAACTGGCATAACGCTTTCCAAACGGGTATCGTTAGCTCCTGTAGGGTCCAATTGACTTACATTGGTGTTGGTTCTAATTTAAAGTCCGACTAATTATATGTATATATAGTATATACAAGGTTGCAGTTTATAGTCTTAAGCACTAGGAACAAAGGTAAATACTAAAAAACAAAAAAGCTTTCAAAAATGTTAAAAAGCAATAGTTGAAAATGAAACAAAAACGAACAAAAAATGAAAAAAAAAATCAACAACCTAGCAAATTATAAAATGTATGCTATGAACATTTTACGTATAAAATGCACAAACGCCCTTTTTGATTTACTTTCTATTTATACTTTGTGTTTTATGAGTATTTATAAAATGCTTTTGTATTTAATGGACTCTGCCTCATACTCGTATTGAAACAAAAGAACAATTTATTTACATATTTACTTAGAAATAAACAACTGTTTTTAGTTGCTCGAGAAAATAATCAGCGCCAGGCTGTTCCGTTTATTTTTGAAGGCTAGGGTCGAGACTTCGTTTTGTAAGGATATAAGTACAACAAAATAATTTGCACTGCATTGAAAACTGACATTTTTGAAGTAAAAAAGAGAAAAGAAAACTCTTCAATATTTATTACAATTTCGTTCTTACTGCTCACTGATGTGACAGTTGGTGTTGGTTTATATACTATTTTCTAAATTTTGATTTTGTAAAATGTTTTTCTATCATTTCCCCTTTCAATAGCAATTGTAACCGATTTTTTCTCACTTACATAAGAGTTCAAACTTCATATTTGATTTTTGCCTTTTTTATTTTCTAAACTCTACGAATCGAATGATGTGTCTGTCGTGTTTTTGCCACGCTTGCTTGCTTGATTTTGAAAACGAATGCGGGCAACAACAAATGCAATTTTTGAATATGTATGTAATACTATGTGCAGCGCGAGACATACAAATTAGAAGCCATGGCACAAGACAAGGGCTACCCGCCCCTGTCCCGTACTGTCGAAGTACAAATCGATGTGGTCGATCGTGCCAACAACCCACCCGTTTGGGATAATACCGTCTATGGGCCGATTTATGTCAAGGAAAATATGCCCGTGGGCGGCAAAGTCGTCTCGATCAAAGCCAGGTCTGTTCATTTAGTGCAACTTTAAATCGACAAACCGACAAATTCATATCAATTTTGCTTAGTTTCCTCACATACTCGTATAAGTACTTATGTAATCAATAAGTGTTTGTTTCATTTCACCTGCTACGTTTTCAGATTTTCAATTCCATAGGTGTTTGTTTTCATTACAAGTTAAACGCTTTTTCTTTACCTTTTGCCTTTGCATTTTTTTTTTCGGTGTTGTTCTTTTCTAGCTGCCTTGCCTTTAGATCTAAGCGAGTGTTTCAATGTTGTGAGTTCTGAATGTTGTTCTCAATAATTTATGCACCATATGCCGCCTCCTTATATCCCCAACAGGCCTTAATTATCAATCAATGTGTGATGATATGTCGAAAATAATGATTATGCGACTCTTTTTTTTTTATACCCAAATGCTCCCTTCTTCCTTATCATAAAGCTTCCATTGATCTCCTCTCTCATCTCTTACGCACCTCACCCTAAATGCACCATCAGCACTTCAGCACATGTAACAATCACTTTAGATGCCACTTTTAAGCTGCACATCCACACACAATGCACACCAATCTGTATCTAGTTGTAAGAAATAGAAGCCCTCATGGCCCTGCCATCCACATCGACCATTAAGTGTCACATGAGAATATGTGTTGGTTATTAAGTAAAATACAACAAGGAAAAGCTTTTTTCTTTCAAATATATATTATAGCTGTGCGGGTCCATCGCGCGAATACCAAAAAGCCTTAGCAATTTTAAGGAACCTCGAGATTACACATACGACGCGACCAATGCATTAGCAATATTAATCTTCTTCTGCATTGTTCCTATTTTCGTTTCCTCTTCAATTGCTTATCTTCGTTCACAAAATGACGTTGAAACTATTTTCCGATAAATGCTAGGAAATCAAAATAAAGAGTAGCATACCTTTAGGGGCAGCATAAGTGCCTCTGGCAATTGAAAAGCTATTCTTTTCATAAAATTAATTCAAAAGAAATGACACAAATTGTACTGGAAATTGACATTTGAAATAGCTAATTAACTCAGCATTTATATATTCGAGGGAGAACTTGCATGCAACTTTCTCATTTCCTTTCAATTATTTCTGTGTCAAAGGATTGCATGGATTTTGATCATTTGCTAATAAATATGTAAAGGAAAAATACAAAGAACGCATACGAAAGGAAGACGACTGAAATCAGTACAATAAATAATACCATCCATTAATTAAAGGCATGTGAGTTCGCAGGACAATTCAGAGATAATGAATCACCTGCTGCTCGTGAAGTACTCTCAGTACAGCAATTATATATTCGTGTGAACTCGCTAGCAGAACTCTATAAGCCCACTTACTGACCTTCAACACAGGTGACCTGCATAATAAGTGCCACGAGCAGCAGGTTGGCCACTCCCCGGTGGCCATAGCCTGCAACCACTTTGTGGCGCATCCATTCGTCTGTTTTTATAGTTTGCTTTCTTCAGGCATGATGCAGTTACCTTCATTCCGTTAATCATAACGCTGCTCTCGGTTATGTCATGAGAAAAAAGTGCAGTTTGTTTGTTGTTAATAAAAAAAAAAATGAAAAAAAGAAGGAGAAACTCTAAAGTTTGAATTTTATAATTGCAATTAAAAACTTGAAGCAGCTCTTAAATGACTTTGGGCTGCGCATTGCATAAACATGATGGTCGGCGCTTTATCTTCTTGGAAACTGACCACATGGCACTGACGTTTTAATTATGCGCCAGTTGGTGGGCAGTCAACGGAGCTCTTTTTTTTGGTGTATCTTTTTATCACTTGCACTGACCTTATCCACGCACCAGTAAAACAAACTAAAAGCAAAGAAAAATAGACAAACAGATCGCACATACGCACCAGCACCATAAAGCAATTGCAAATGTAGATGAGAAGCAACGTTTAGTTAGTTTAGTTGTAATTACGCTTTTCATTTCAATGCTAAGCAAACAGCAATACTTTCTAAGTACTGTGTAGTATGTACTCCTGCGTTTTAATTTTTTCCTACCCTGTTGCCTAAATAAGTTTATGTGAGTGTGTTTAATAATTTAAGAACCATTTGGGTTGTGTTTGCTTTTCTGTTATTACTTTCTTTGCAATTATCTTGTCCCAGCACAAAATTGTAAATTTCGTACATTTAGGTTACAGCTAAACCCACTTGAATGTAGCCAAGATGCTATTAAAAGCCCGAGAGTGCCGCACGCGTTAAAAGTGTTCGGTGATGAGGGTAGAGTGTTGTGGGACTGGCGCGCAAAGAGCTAGGCAAGCGTTTTCAAGTGCGCGTATATCATAATAATTGTGCTTGTTGTTGCTGTTGTTCCTGCCATGACAACAGCGCTTAATGTGCGCGCTTTCAAGTGTTTATTGTGTGTAAACATGCAGCATACTTTTCACACACACACACACACACACATATATACCAACAGAATTACAAAACAACACCAGCAACAACAGCCAGCTAGTACTAGATAAATACGCTCAAAGGAGGGAAGAGTTGGCGCGCCGAGCACGTTATAAATTTAACCGAAGGTCCTTTCTCACTGACAAATTTTATTTCATAAACAGTGATCTGGCGCTCAACTGTGAATTAAACTTTAATTGGAATTTAAAAAAAAAAACTACATTTAGGCTTAATTTGTTTGTGTTCTGGCGGGAGATTATATGCATATATGTACATAAATAGTTGAGAAATATTTACATCAAGAACTCACACAACAAATTATGCCTCAAAACCATTACATACACATAACAATTGAAAAATTATATGAATTCCCCCATCTGTGGCTTTTTTGAATCACTTTCCACTGCCACTTCCTCATTTCTCTCTCTTTCCTCTCTTTTTGCTCACACATCACGGCCCTGGCAACACTTGCCATGCAGGCGAATACTCTTCTTTTTTTTGCCCCGCTAACCCAACTGCCAGCAGTTCTTGAAGCCCCTTAGTATTTGTTTTTTTTCGCTTTCCCGTCAGCTGCAAGTGTTGCCCCGTCCCCGTGAAGTGTGTACAAAAGTAATATTTTATCCACACCAACACCAAGACACCAACAACAACACCAAGACACCCAGACCAAGAAACAAATTTGGCGCGTGCATGCCTAATTTGTTTTTCATTATCATCGTCTCATCCCACACATCACCCCTAATCCCGGAACCCACATTTTCCACATTTTCCAACCTTTTAAAATGCCAACAAAAGAAAAAAAAAACCACCCGCCTATGTGTACTATATATTCGCGCATCTGCCAACAACTTTTTGACATTCAAATGGCAATTAGATGATTTTTTGAAGCCATTTCCTGCGCTCTTTTTTGTGATGGTTCCCGACTAAAGCCTCCGTTAAAGTGTTACTTTTTAAAGAAATATTCTCTCATTATTTCTGCACCAATGCGTTAAGGCATCCTTTTACCACACACACAAAAAAAAAAATATGTACAATTTATTAATTAATAGGAAATCGCAAAAGTGCGCCGTGGCGTCAACTTTTTTGTATTTTGACACAATGCATGCGTGTGTGTCTGTGTGTTTGCGTGCGTGTGTGTGTGTGAGAGCGTGTTTTTCATTTGTAAAATCATTATTTTTCAACGCTTTTATTTCTCTTACCACTAGATCAGACTTTTTTCTGTGCCGACCCTTGACAGGGTGGAGGCACAGCTTCTGCATTCTTTCATTTCCATTCAATGTATTCTCCATATTTGAATAATCATAAGTATATAACATAAGTATATGAATTTGTTTTTTGATATCCACATATTTGTGTATATTTCTGTAGCTTATAGTAAATAATTTGTTCACTCTAATATTCATGTAGTTCCCTACGCCTAATACTTACCACTAAATCAAAAGTTCACAACCATTGCCATTTTGCTAATATTTGAACCTGTTTTTTAAACTCGTCCGCCTGCCAACGTCTGCAGTTCGGGCATTGAAGGCAATCCGACGGTATTCTATCGGCTTATGCCCGGGTCCACGGCTCAGACCAACAAATTCCACACCTTCTATCTGCAACAGAGACCAGACAATGGCGACACATGGGCCGACATAAAGGTCAATCATCCGCTGGACTATGAGAGCATCAAGGAGTACAATCTTACGATCCGTGTGGAGGTTAGTCTAGAACATGCACAAATTCTTCTTTGATTGAAAACCAAGCTTCAGCAAAACTCTTGAAGTTGTCGTTCGCGGGTTCAATTAAGCTTACAACTCAACACACTTGCGTTTATTTGACTTTTGAATCTGAGAATGACTTCCAAAAACATTTATAATTATTTTATTTGAAAAGTTTTAATTACTTGCTCGAGCTTTGCGCGCAACATGCAAATACTAGGGTGGCGGGGCAGCCAACCTACTCTGTGGAAGCCGCAATGGCAGTTCAGCCGGTTGAATGCTTAACTGACTGCCTGAATGACTGACTGACTGACTGACTAGCTGGTTGAGTTGCTTGCTGGCTGACGGACGGGCTAAGCTCACCGCCTTTTTCGATTGAATTGAATTGAAATGCAATCAATGTCAAGTTTTAGGAGAGCAGCATGAATGCAGCTCATTAGTGGAGCCATTGAAGTCCTGGCCCCGGGCCAGTAAATAGTTTCAGTTGCCAGCATTCGCCATAAATAATAGAAGGCCAGGCTAAATAACTTATGTCGAATGAAATGCAAACAAATCTACCAAAATAATAATGAACTCTGGGACATGGAATATGGGATATGGGATATAGAGATACGGGATATGGGATATGGGATATGGCTGAGTCTCTGGGCCACAGAGCAGCAACCACAAACGACAGAAGTATCATTGACAGGCAATTGCCGCTGTTAATTAAACATAATGAGTTTAGAGTATTTTTTGTTTGTTTATTTTCCACAGAGCATAAAAACTAATGGACAGCATGTTTGTTTAGCGACTGACAACAAATTAAATGCAAATAGCGTGCCCGAACATGGAATACTTGTATTTAAAATAGTTGTGAAATTTTCGCGGTCGTTTACCAAAAACATTTACATTCGTTTGGTTTATGTTTAGAGTTCAAAATAAAGTTAATCCGGGCTATCGACTTTCGTTTCTAATTTTAATTTTCCAACATGTGCTTACGCAATGAGTTCCAGAAATAAAGATGAACTATCGTGGCTAACTTTAAATCATGAATTGCCATTGATATAAACAAACTTTGGGGAAAAAAGCAAAAATGCAGCCTATTTCAAATATTTCAATTTGTATCTACAAATATCAATAACAATTAAATTTATTACTCGATTTTATATTTTATTGAATTTGTTTTTTGTCCCGTTTCGCACAGCGATGCGCATTGTTTGTGTTTATTACTGCAGCTTATGCTAAAGCTAACAGCATTTGAAACTCTGCATCCTTTCTGTTGCATTCGTGTTTGCGCACGGATTGACAGTCTTGAAAGTTTTCAATTAGACAAACTTGCTCGGCGAATGTCAACACTTAATTGGCAACTCACTGCGATGTGCTCATAAGCCATGATTGCACCAGACAAGTAGGGCTGACTGGTTTGTGTGTGCGTGTCAGACAACATAAATAATTCATTAGAATTTCAGCCTGACAGACTTGATGTAGACAAACATATGCTTCTATCGATTACGTTCTGGCTTATTATATGTATTCCCCTATTATATGCATTGGTTATCATGAAATACAATCGGGATTTGTGCAAACATGCAATATTAATAACGAAAGATGCTGCAAACCAAACAAGAGCTCAGATTATTTACATAATCCAGAAATTCATAGAAATCGCCAACGGGCAGATATGTTAAAGAATGTTGCTAACAAATTCGATTCTGCCATTTATATCCTCGTAAATTATGATTATTTACATCGAGCAGATATCTCTTTCGTGTCTGGTGATGGTTTGGTGCAGCCTTCACTCTTCTTCTGAGTCTCCAATGTAATGGGGGGCCCGATAAGCAGCAATTTGTAATTAGGTATGAGATCTAGTAAGAAGAACAACTATTATTTTCCCCTTTCAATCAAAGGGGTCCTAGTGGTGACGCTGATATTCTACATCAATACTATATTATTGCAACACCTTTAGTTGTCATCAGTAGTTAGTTTAATGAAGGTAAATGACTTTGGTTTTTTAATTACTGGCACTACATCGTAAATGCGATTTCCTAATGCGATTTGAGGCTTAAAAGTGACTGCTGGCCTCCAAATAGGTCCGACATTGAATCACAGTGTTAAAGTCGCAGACTGCACTTTTTCCCCAAACCAGTTACATTCATTGAAAATTTACGATTTTAATACATACTCGTGTAGTAAGTTGAAGTATGCACATAATAAACAAATTAAACTTGTAAGGCAAATATGCGCGGCATTTTCAATAAGCTCGAGCGCCTCTTGTGCAAATTAATAAAAAATAATATTTGATTAAAAAATACTCCTCATAGCAAACAGACTATTACAACAAAAACAACAGAAACAACAACAACAGCAGTCGCAACGAGAAGAGTAATCCACCATTTCGCGTTATTAATATGCTAATTAAATAGACTTTATTGAATAATTAAAAGGCAACCCCAGAAAGGACGACAACATTGAAAATGTTAACAAGCAAACTCACGTGACTGGAATAATAAACAGCGGCAATTTGTATGAAAATTAAAAAGTTTCTTTTGTACTCGTACTACCTATGCATTGAGGACTGAACTTAAATGGGTTTTCTCTGTGCTGCCACTCATCCATCCATTTCTTTTTCACAGAACAACGGCGCCCAGCAATTGGCATCGGAAGCGACCGTTTACATAATGCTCGAGGATGTTAATGACGAAATACCGTTGTTCACCGAACGCGAACAGGAAACGGTGCTGGAGGGCGAACCGATTGGCACAAAAGTGACACAAGTGAATGCCATTGACAAGGATGGCACATTCCCAAATAATCAGGTGAGCGAAAATTGAGTGGGCGAAGCGGATGCGACGGCAGATTGCCTTCAAAATTAATGGCTCTGACGGATCGCATTGTACGGCGAGAGGGGGAGGGGGGAGTGGGGTGTGACGTGAAAGTGTCATTTGGTAAATGGCTTAAATATATGTATACTTATGTATGCATTTTCATTTTTATCAGCAATTGAAGGATTAAAGTTTCGGCTATAAGCAATGTGTATAAATTTGTGGCAAAGAAAAGTATTTAAATCAACATTGAAGCGTCCTCATTTTTCGCATTATTATCCCAATGAAATAAGTATGCCTGATATTAGGTTAAGGAAAATAAATATTATAGTGAATGAATAATGAAGCTTTACATACTATATAGGAGGATATAGTTATCTGTTGTTTATTCTTTTAAAATCAAGTACGAACATTAAGGAGAAAGAAATATTTATATACGGCACTATGTTTCATAGAATAACAACTGAACCGTTCGATATATTTATTTTAATTAATCTTATAGTTTGAACAGAATACTTTATATAAAATTCAAATTCGATGTAAACTATCCGCAAGTGATAGCAAACTAGTCTGTGCTAGTAAATTATTTCGTTCCCAAAACTCAACGATCAAGAAAGAAACGAAGAATTGCATTTTGTGGAAAATATTTAAATATTTTGCGCACCATAGTTGGGCGAAAGAAATAGTTACTGAAAGAAAATTCAATTTATTTAAGAGCGTTTATTTATTATTATTTATTGTTGTTATTTGGTAATTTAATTTAAAAACATTACACATATCCAAAGCATAATAATATCTCGAAATAAATTATAATACACTGACGCACAGCTATGCGATCTTAACATTCCAATAATGATAATTATTTCGGACAAACCTATACAGACAATTACTTACGCTATAAACGGGGCGATTACGACTCCGGAAAAATAACCTACCAGCCCAGAACTTGATCTAAGACTCATCTATGAAAAGCGCATATGCATTTAATAATAGATAAAATAAAGAACTTATTCTTAGTCTCACAAAGAGAAGGTACAGAAGATATTATTAATATACAGAAAAAAAAAAGTATATTTCCGGTCGAATAATATTTTGTCAGTGTAGAATTTTCCTTCAATTTTAAATGCCAGATTTAAGATTGAAAAATAAGAAAGTGTTGTGCGGTTTTTAGACTATTTAGAAATTTGCAATATCTTAATTTTTAAATGCTAAAAAACCTTCACAGCAAGTAAGATTATGTTGCCCATGATGTTGTCACTTTTTAATTTTCCCATTCACCTTGAGGAGGAGCGACTAGATATGCTATTTACAAAGGCGATTTCTCTTTGCGATTCACCATCGTTCGCCATTTTAATTGTAATTTTGTCTTTCTCTAGCCAGCTAGTCGGCTAATAAATGTCAAAGCGCTGCTTTCACGCCCTTCTTATAGAACTTGCGAGTGTGTCGCCAAGTCCGTTCAGTGAAAATGGAAAGAGCCGCTGGTCATAGCCAAAGCGAAATGCAAAATGCGAATCCGCAAGTTGGCCACGCAGTGCGCTCTATGCGCTTGACAGTGATGGTGATGGTGATGACGGACTCGACCCTCAGCCAAGTCCGAGCGCATTTCCATTTTAATATGCGAGCATTCTTCTTGTCACATTTCGTGTCCTCGGGCAAAGTAATTTTCATGTACGCGTGAAATGTCTGCACTAATTAGCGTTCTCATTTATAGCGTGGGCGTTTCTTTCTTGTCTAGCTCGTGGCCGGGTTTACGGATTTGATTATCATTATCATTCCAGTAACGCTTTAATGTCTCCACTGTGGCCAGCGGGCAGTGGCTTGTGGCCTCTGGCTGCAGCTGCAGTGATTAAATTTCTCAGGCGCATTACATTTTTAATTTCCCTTTTGATCTGGCATAGAAGGGACTTGAGAGGTTAGCTGACAATTTTGATTTCTAGCAATGGATAGGGAACTGAAGCTAGAAATGAAATAAATGAATTCTTTGTGCAGATCTAGCCTCACCTACCACTGACTACACAACTTGACAATTTTATGCGCACTCACAATTATTCAAAGAGTAAAAGCCAACGAAAATATAATGGGAAAGGGGCAAAGTGAAAAATTGAATAATGAAAAATGAATAATGAAAAAATGAAACTAACAAACGAACTACTTTTCTGCCACTTTCAGGTCTATTACTATATCGTGGACTCGCCACGCAACGAGGGCAAGGAATTTTTTGAAATTAATTTGCAAAGCGGCGAAATCTTCACCAAAACCGTATTCGACAGAGAGAAGAAGGGCGCCTACGCCCTGGAGGTGGAGGCGCGGGACGGTGCGCCGTCTGCCCGACCCAACAGCAATGGACCCAATTCAGGTGAGTGGGCTGCACATCCTCCTACCCCCAATAACCCCTCATAGACATAAGTAGTCGACTTCGGCTTCGTCGGTTGGTGGCTGTTGGTGGTCAGCTACTTTATGGGTGGCCCAGTTGGTATTCTATTGCCCGACCGCTTAACTTCCTTCATGTTTAAATGAAAAACTTATTTTTGTATCTTTTTGGGGCGAAAACTTTTCAGCGCTCCAGCAATGCACAATGCGTTTATGTAAATGCGTGTTGGGGCGAAGTTTTTTCTAGCAAATAATTCGTTAAAGTAGTTTTATCGCTGGCTAGATGCAAATGCATGAAATATTCAACAGCAATTGGATAACGAAAGAATATGTTTCCAGTATATGGAAATTCTAAAAGTGCATGTCAATCAAATACGAGTATGCATACAACGAGTATGAATAACAACTATACTAGTCTTTCAAAAATGAACATGAAAAATTTTTACAATTCATCCCTAAGCGTTTTCAATCCACGTTGCTATCGTTTAAATATCTTTGGCTCCTTATGTCCATCTACATCTTCGATTGAACAGTTTTTCGCGGTCTTTATTGATGTGCTTTTAACAGAAAATACATATTTATAGAACGCATCTGAAATAAAATTAATTTATGAGTTTGTGAGTTGGAACATACATTCTAAGTTCTAAGTTTTCAACTCTATTTGTTAGTTTGCCTTAAAAAGACAGTTCTGTGCTTAAATTTGCAAAAGTGTAATTGTGTAATTTAAATATAAAATATAAACGAAATTAAATACATTTGTATTTTACAAATAACTACTTCTTGTTTACAACTTTTAGAAAATTATAAATATAAACTGAATCGAGTTGAACAGGCTGCCAACTGAGCCTAAGAAGCGTGAAAAATGATCTATTTTTCGTAAAATAAAAATTTTCTTTAATAGGGTCTATTGCGTTGCAGCTCGTTTCGAATGGTTGGTTACTGTGCAGGGCTTTTATCTGCTCGATAGCGAGTTGCCCAAACGCATCCATTTGCCTGCCACGCCCATTGAAATACCAGCAGCAACACACAGAGTGTCAACATGAAGGCTGTGCTTCTCAAATAAAGTGCCAATACTTTTGCTATTCCTGTTGCGTGCAATGCAATTTGTTTGGTCTCTATTTACAAGCTTTATCTCCCTCCGCCCACGCACCCCACGCCCCCCAGACACCACAGACACCCAAACACCTAAACCCCGCTTGGTCTGGCAAACCAAATATAAATATTGACCACACTGGTAGGCAGCTGGCAGTGGAGAGCGGGTCCAGGCGACTGCGACCCATTTAAGCCCAAAAGTGTGGCAGCCAGAATGTTTTGCCTGTTTCGTTATTCTGTGTCTCTGGGTGGGTGTGTGTGTGTGTGTGTGTGTAAATGTGTGTGTGTGTATGTAAGCCTGTGCGTGTGTTTTGCAAAGTGCAGTTGACTTTTATTCATGCCCCGTGCTAGCAGCACGCTGGCCCCCATTGTTCCACAATTGGTGGCACAACCGCCTACCCGCCCTTTGGCAAATAAATGTGCGTACATCAAAAACATTTTGGATCTGAAGCTTGTGGCGATGCTGTACAATTTTTCGCTGCCAATATTTGAGCAGCGTGTACTTTTGGTGCGAAATGTTGAAGGCGCTTTAAAGGGAGGAACACTCAGACCCAAGACGTTAGAAACTCTCCCACGCCTAAAATAAGCAATTAGGCACATGTCAACAACTGCCAACAGCCAACAAGCACTCGCATTGTATTTTATTTGCGCCACAATTTTGTGCCCACGTTGTATGAGTGTATGAGTGTGTCTGTGTGTGTGTGGAAGTGAATGTCGTCTATTATTTTCCTTCCCAATTATTTGCTGTTCATTAAAATTGGCCCTGAAATGGCAGCCATTCAATATGGCCATGTTTGTCCTTTTTGCTTTCTTTCTCATTTCTACAGCAAATGCCTTTCAATTGTTTTATAATGCCGCACACATAAGCGCGCTTCGCCGAGCTTAGCGGCAAATTGAAACTGAAATATGCTTGCATACTTTTGAGCGCTCTCCCGCTGGAAAGTATTCGCACAGGAGGCCTCCTGATTGAGTTGGTTGTGAGAAATCCTTTAAACGAAATGAGAATATTGTTGAATATAAATTTTTGTAATCCTATTTATCTGCCTTCTCTTCACATACCAGATCCTTGATATGGCAGATATCAGTAGCATCATTGGGTATAATGATAAACTTTACAAACAGCAACAAAGACTCCTCTCCTCACGCAGTTGTATGAATCTAAAATAATAAAAATATTAATAGAGAAATCCTTTGAACGAAATGAGAATATTGTTTAATATACATTTTTGTAATCCTATTTATCTGCATAAAAAAATGCAAAGTATTTTCACATACCAGATCCTTGATATAATGGACAAACAGCAACAAAGACTCCATTTCTCTCTCATTTTCATGAAGCTAAAATAATAAAAATATTAACAATAAATCATACTACAAAAATATAACTATTGCTGAACTAAGCTGTTGATGCTATTCTAAATTATTATCTATGGACGGTGTATTGTTTTTTTAACAGAGTGAGCAATCAAAGTTGCAATTTTGTTATCAGTTTTTAGCAAAAGCTCCACAGTGCGGCGTGCTGTGGCCCTGAATGAAAATTAAAAAGTTCCTATTTTGTGTTGTTGCTGCTTTGACTGCTGCTGTTGTTGTTGTTATTGTTGTAGTTGTCGGTGTTGTTGCTGTTCTAGCAACAGAAATAAAACATGTAATTTACAACAGTTGTTGGGCTTTTGTGTTCACAACCGTGGCTTACAAATATTGATATTCATGTTTGGGCGAAAGTTTCGGCTGCTGTTGATACTGAGGCTGACTGCTGGCTGTTGCTGGCTGTGTTGCTGTTGTTGCCGTTGTTGTTGTTGTTGTTGGTGTTGTTTTTCGACACCGCAGTCGTAAACTATTATTAAATGCCTAGATGCATGCATGTGTGTGTGATGCAAATTTTGCACATTCTATTTGTTGCTGTTAATTGATTTGCTGTAACGTGTATTTATGTGTATTTTAAAACAATTTCAATTTGTGCTTCCTTTTTGGCCCGCAACTGTGTTCCAGCCAGGAGCTTTTCCTTTTAAAATTTAACCACTTGTATGCATTTATAGTGCGCTTTTCTGCATTGCATTTTCTCTCGTTTCTTTAATTCCTTCATATTTTCTTTTTTGATACGTCACATTGGTCGACTCGGCTTTCAATATATTTGTGTATGTGTGCGGTTTATTTTACCTTTGTTTACCTTGCTGTTTTTCCACAATTTAGCTTTGGTTTGTCCGCTTTGTCCGCCCTCCCTTTTGACTGCTGCATTTGTTTGCGATTTCGCCTTAATGCCTTCGACGAGTTCATTGTGCATGCCATTGTTGCGGTATCCAGCAATGCCCGACTGGCTCCCCCGCTCCCACGCTGCTACAAACTGTTTGGAGCATTTGAAATTTCCGTTTTGCATTAGCGTTTTTCCTTGCTATTTACTTTTGTTATGCAGCTTATATTGTTTGTGGCACATCTATGGAGCGTGCTTTCAATGCAGCTGTGATTCGAGCTGCCCGGGCGAACGGTCGACTCTGTTCGATGGCTTTAAAGTTTCAATAAATTTTTCAGTTTCAGTTCAAACGCCATACAGCTGCTCCTCTTCTGCATTTCTTGCTTCATTGCCCCAGCAGCAGAGAGATATCGGTTTCCACAGACTGTACACACACACACACACACCCCCACACGCACAAACACATACACATACGTAGAAATACAGATATCAACGGCATTGTTTTTCTTCTGTGTATGTATAGACGTATGTATGTGTGTGTGTGTGTGTGTGTGTTTTGCCCTGCGCTTTGTTTGTTGTTATCTGTAAAACGTGCTCTTTTTAGTTATGCATACTTTTAGGCTTAACGCCTGCGTCCCTTGCCACGTGGGCTGTCGATTTCATGCATAAATTGTGGCACTGGGCAACAAGAACCGCAAGGCCAGAGCTCAAGCAAACAAACAAGCATATAGAATAGCACAAAGTCGAGTCGAGATGACAGAAAAAAGGAAAACAGCAACAGTAAAAAATGGGAAAGAAGTGAGCTAGTGTACATACTACATACTACTACATACTCGTTTATCACAGACTGCAGGGATCGGCCATACATGTAAACATAATTAGCATACTTTGTGGTGCCGGCTGCGTCACGTACTTTAAAAGGCAAACAAAAACATCCAGGAAATCGCTTAATGCACATGACTATTATTGAGACATGGCCAGGATGCTTAAACGTTTGATGCATACAAATTAACCCTTTTGTTCTTGTTGCTGTTCCTTTCCATTGTTAACAAGTGCCCGCCAGCGGCAATAAAATCCATTCGGAACAGGCCAGCCCTGGCCATTCTCGTCATCCTGCCGTTGTGGACGGACACTCATAAAAATCGTGTTAAATAAAATAAGCAAAATTTGCATGACACACTTGAATGCCCGCTGGCCCGGCAGTCATTGCTGCACATCCACACCGACATCCACATCCACATCTTCGGGCCCATCAATGCCGATTGTTACACACATCATAAATTTCCCGAGCAAAAAGCAAAGCTAGCTGACGACGAACTCTTTTTTGGGGGCGCCAGAAGTTATTAGGTTGGCTACGCATAAAATAAAAAGCAGTTTTCTAATTTCTGGGGCGGAAATAAGTGCTCATAAAAAATGTACATGCCCATAAAAATACACACAGCCTATGACCCAACGCCAGCGCTAGCGCCAACGCCATTGCCAACGCCATCCTCATAGATTGCGTATACGCCTCGTGGTAATCGAATCGCTCGCAGCCAAACGATAGCAGCAACTGCCAACTACGTCTAAACGCTCTCATATCATATTCGATAATGTTTTCATGTGCCCTGTCATGTTGGCTGTCGTGCACTGCTGCTCCTGTTGTTGTCGTTGTAGTTGTTGTTGTTATTGTTGCTTCTGCTATTATGTTTGTTGTTGCCTGGCAC